CTAAGATACTGCGCAGGACCCTCAAGCTCCCAGGCATCTGGTAGAGGACCCGAGCTTGAAGGATAAACCGCCCGCAGGGGCGTGCTGGGTGTTATATAGATATATATATATATATATATATATATATATATATATATAGAGCCACTGTTGGTAATAACAGAAGTCATCCCCCTTTTACTGACATTTTAAGCCTTGAAGTAGTATATATATATATATATATATATATATATATATTAGTACCAATTTTCATGAACAAGGGTGATGTGCAGAGCTGTAGTAACTACAGAGGCCTAAAGCTGATGAGCCACACCATGAAGCTGTGGAAAGAGTTGTTGAAGCTAGGTTAAGATATATGGCTCCATACTGAGAGAGAGCGCTACAGATGTGATGTTTGCCTGGAATGTTGACGGGAGTGTGGGAAGTATAGAGAAAGTCAAAAGCAGCTTCACTGTGTCTTTGTGTATCTACAGGGAGTGCAGAATTATTAGGCAAGTTGTATTTTTGAGGAATAATTTTATTATTGAACAACAACCATGTTCTCAATGAACCCAAAAAACTCATTAATATCAAAGCTGAATGTTTTTGGAAGTAGTTTTTAGTTTGTTTTTAGTTTTAGCTATTTTAGGGGGATATCTGTGTGTGCAGGTGACTATTACTGTGCATAATTATTAGGCAACTTAACAAAAAACAAATATATACCCATTTCAATTATTTATTTTTACCAGTGAAACCAATATAACATCTCCACATTCACAAATATACATTTCTGACATTCAAAAACAAAACAAAAACAAATCAGCGACCAATATAGCCACCTTTCTTTGCAAGGACACTCAAAAGCCTGCCATCCATGGATTCTGTCAGTGTTTTGATCTGTTCACCATCAACATTGCGTGCAGCAGCAACCACAGCCTCCCAGACACTGTTCAGAGAGGTGTTCTGTTTTCCCTCCTTGTAAATCTCACATTTGATGATGGACCACAGGTTCTCAGTGGGGTTCAGATCAGGTGAACAAGGTGGCCATGTCATTAGTTTTTCTTCTTTTATACCCTTTCTTGCCAGCCACGCTGTGGAGTACTTGGACGCGTGTGATGGAGCATTGTCCTGCATGAAAATCATGTTTTGCTTGAAGGATGCAGACTTCTTCCTGTACCACTGCTTGAAGAAGGTGTCTTCCAGAAACTGGCAGTAGGACTGGGAGTTGAGCTTGACTCCATCCTCAACCCGAAAAGGCCCCACAAGCTCATCTTTGATGATACCAGCCCAAACCAGTACTCCACCTCCACCTTGCTTGCGTCTGAGTCGGACTGGAGCTCTCTGCCCTTTACCAATCCAGCCACGGGCCCATCCATCTGGCCCATCAAGACTCACTCTCATTACATCAGTCCATAAAACCTTAGAAAAATCAGTCTTGAGATATTTCTTGGCCCAGTCTTGACATTTCAGCTTGTGTGTCTTGTTCAGTGGTGGTCGTCTTTCAGCCTTTCTTACCTTGGCCATGTCTCTGAGTATTGCACACCTTGTGCTTTTGGGCACTCCAGTGATGTTGCAGCTCTGAAATATGGCCAAACTGGTGGCAAGTGGCATCTTGGCAGCTGCACGCTTGACTTTTCTCAGTTCATGGGCAGTTATTTTGCACCTTGGTTTTTCCACACGCTTCTTACGACCCTGTTGACTATTTTGAATGAAACGCTTGATTGTTCGATGATCACGCTTCAGAAGCTTTGCAATTTTGTGACTGCTGCATCCCTCTGCAAGATATCTCACTATTTTTGACTTTTCTGTGCCTGTCAAGTCCTTCTTTTGACCCATTTTGCCAAAGGAAAGGACGTTGCCTAATAATTATGCACACCTGATATAGGGTGTTGATGTCATTAGACCACACCCCTTCTCATTACAGAGATGCACATCACCTAATATGCTTAATTGGTAGTAGGCTTTCGAGCCTATACAGCTTGGAGTAAGACAACATGCATGAAGAGGATGATGTGGACAAAATACTCATTTGCCTAATAATTCTGCACTCCCTGTAGAGAAAGCATATAATAAGTTGGTAAGATAGGAACTGTGGTACTACATGAGGAAGTCAGGAGTGGCAGAGGAGTATGTGAGGGTGGTTTGGGAGATCTATCAGGACAACAAGACCGTGACGATGTGTGTGGTAGAAGTGGCAAAAGGGTTCAAGATGGGGTGTGATTACATCAAGGATTGACTCTGAGCCCACTCTTGATTGCATGGTGATGTACAAGCTGACAGATGAGGTCAGGAGTCTCTGTGGACTGCAACATTTGCAGGCAACATTGTGATGTGTAATGAGAGTAAGGAGCACATGGAAGAACGTTTGAAGAGGTGGAGGTGGAGAGAGGACAGGAGGAATGAAAGTCAGTAGGAGCAAGCCAGACTATGTGTGTGTGAGTAAGAGGGAGACAGGTGGAAAAGTAAAAATGCAAGGAGGTAGATGCGTTTAAACAGGGTGAAAACTGGGTGGAGTAGGTGGAGATGAGTGTCAGGGGCAATTGGTGATGGGGAGATGGCAGCAAGGCTTAAAGGGAAGTTTGGTAGTGAGGCCTGTTATAATGTATGGTTTGGAGACAGAGGCACTGACAAAAAGGAGGTGGCAGAGTTAAGATGCTCAGAATTTTATTGGGAGTGACCAGGATGGGCCTTAAGTCCTTAAGGCGGGCAACTCATCGGGAGTGGTTTGCAGAAGCTTGGAACTTGGAAGTTAGAGGCAAGGCTGAAATGGTTTGGACTTGCACAGAGGAAGGATGGTGGATATATAAATCAAAGATAACGATGGAGCTGCCAGGCAAGAGTACAAGAGAGAAGTTTCATGGATGTAATGAAAGAGAACTCGCAGAGGGTTGGTGTGACAGAAGAGGATGCTGGGCATAGAGTAAGATGCAGACAGATGATTCGCTGTAGCAACCCCTACCGGAAGCACCAGATAGAAGAAAAGAGCAAGATCATATGTATAACCAGTTTAGTTTTTTTATGTCTGCCTCACTGAAGACAAAACGGTATGCAAATGATCTCTGTAGTCAGTGTGGGTATGTAGCCCCTCTCTCTTCTCAATATAACCACCAGTACTTAACAAACTAAAGGACAAGTTCAAGTTAAACTCTAGGCAGTCAAGTGTTAAGGCGAGGATTGGCTGAGAACATCCAGCAGCTGCTGTCTTGTGGTCATATCCTCACCCTTATCTCACTGTCACCATCTTCTTCCCCTTGTTTCATGTCCTTAGCATGGCCTGATGGAATGAACTTACTAAAGATTGACCCACTTTACAAAGTTGAATTATGCGATTGGGGGTCCATTCCCAATACCATTCTTACGCTAAGCCTAAGAAGCAACTGTGTAGCTCCTCCCAGCATCCACTGTGCAATTCAGCAAAGTTTCATCCATCTATACGCCATAGAGGTGGGAATCACCATACATCCCACGATACGATATTATCACAATACTTAACGCACGATACGATATTATTGGAATTTTTAAAATATTTTGCGATATTCAGATTCTGTACATAAAGGTAAACTTTATCAATATTCATTTTATCTAATATCAAAGTCTCACACTCAGTCTTTCTCTCATTTCAGTCAGTTTTATTGTTGACAAACTGAACGGTTTATATTACAGTCTAGTCCAACTTAACTGAATGCAACCATCTGGTACAATTATAGCTATTCTGAACTATGCAATTTATGAAAACTATGCAGCCCATTCAGCAACTGAAGAACTTGAAAGTAAATTAAAATAAAATATAATTTTACATTAAATAAAAAAGTTTTAAACTTAATTAAAATAAAACATGTCTTAAATTAAAATAAGTAAACTGTCATGTTTATTGCTGCCAAAAAACAAGTTAAACACATTTGGACAGTGAAGGAATGTCAGGATTCTTGCTCAGAAAAAGGATCAACATGCTCTGAAGTCAGAGTTCCAGTCCACAAAAACTTTTTTTGTAACAAAATCGATTTCTGCTGTCCCTGTATCGATACATTATTAGCAAACAAAATATCACGATACTACACAGTATCGATTTTTTTCCCCCACCCCTAATACGCCATGCCAGTCTCTTATGTTTCTTGTAGCCAACCTCAGACTCAGCCTTCCTATTACAGCACAGCCTATAGCTGGAATAACTGTCCTACATTCGTGCCTCCACATGTCTTCAGTCTATATTTCTACCCTCAGTCTTTGTCTTATTTCAGCACTAAGGTTTTGTGTGGATATAGTTACTCTACGTGCGGTGAATAGCTAAGGGGAGTAGAGAGGCCCGTGTTGTGTCATAAGATACTCCGTGTGCTTCATTCCTTCATGGCCTGCTGACCCATGTGCAACAGCTGTTGCACATGGGTCAGCGTATTGATGGCCACATGTTGCGTCAGCCCTTCTCATGAGGCCTGAACGTGTTATTCAGAGCTGTTTTGAATCATTTGCACTGAAAGATAATGGAGTTTTACTCAGCTGTGTTGATGATGATAAAGGTCCTGTTAGTGTTTGGTCTCTTAGTCTGTTGGCATACTGAGATATCTGAGCAACCTTTGGATAGAGTGCTATAAAGTTTTACATAGATGTCCACAGTGAAAGTTTAAATCCTTAGACCCCTCGCTCTCTGGCAGTCCCCGGACATTTCAGCGTCAACTCATTAACTGAGATATCTACTCAGAAGCCTTTACTTTTCTTTAGATTGCCATTTTACATTTTGTGCAGACCCTAAAAACCAAAATGACCAGAAAAAGTTGGTTAGTATTATCAAGTCAAAAAAATTCTGTTAACAATGTCTGCTAACTGCTATCCAAAAATGATAAACATAATAAGCATTATATGTCGTGATGTCGTGGCCATATTGGCAAGCTCATGTGAGCTTTATGTACAAATACAAATGTAAAAATCGGGGTGACTTTTTAATCTCTGTCGGCCAGCCCGTGTTTGTATTTGACCTCTTTGACCTCTGTTTGTTTCCCTTCCCTTGCACCCTTGTCCTTGGTCTCCAGTTTGATGAGTGAGAGTGCCGCCAGCCTCCTCCCATCACCACAATGGTCGACATGGAGACCCATTACCATCCCCCCTCTCCCCTGGAGGACTCGGTGCTGGGCAGTCCCCTGTGTGCTGATGACGATTTCATGGGTAGCATGGAGCAGCTCCAGGACATCTCCCAATCCATCAGCGACGACGCTCTTAGCTCATTTGGTGTCCCAAAATACCAATCCTCCAGCAACGGCTCTGATGGGTCCACCGTCCTCGGTAAAATTAAGTGTGATTTCTTTTTGTTTACAAAGTTACAGTCAGACCATGAATGGTTTGCTTTCTCGCTCTGGTTTCACAATGTCCCAGCACCTCAGTGTAATCTCCTTGCCATTCTTGTTGTTGTCAAACCAGGAGTCCTTCAGTTTAGCCCCGTAATCCCTATTTTGCTCCAAATTGAGGTTTAGATAAGAAACTCACTTTGGCCTTTTTAACTTTTTTCTCTTAAAAGGCTGTACTACATTATCTGTTATCTTAACAAACTTTTTCTCAGTCTCCTCTGTCCAGACTAAAACACTTCCTAATGATTTGAGAAATTGCCCTTTTAGCGATTGGTGTGATATCTGAGTCTCCTGAGAGATTTCCTTTCTTTCCTTCAGTATTTCCACCGTTTTTCCATTTTTCTCCTCTGGCCTTATTCACCTATCATCCTTGTGACTCTCTAGTTTTACCTCTTTTTTTCCTTCTCCTTCCAGCCTTTCTCTTTGCCCCATATCCAACAAGGAATTTACACATTCCTAAACCACCATGCAAAACCTATCAGGAAACATCCAATTTTCTTCTGTGTTTCCTCCTGAATAGACTGGGTCTGTTAATTTACATGCTTAAAAAAAAAGAAGAAATGCAACAAGTGAAGGAGCTGTGAAGAGTACATGTAAGACAGGGAAGAAGGGGGGGGTGGAAGAGCACTGAGCATCGGAGAAACATTTGATGACATCACGGAAAAGGCAGTGTGAGGGTGCATGCGATTTATGGGTGTTTAGGAGCACAAACACGGTGAGAGACAGGAGCAGAAACTCATATGCTTTCACTCTCTGCTCTCAGTCAAAACATGTGCACTTGCCCCAAGCTGGAACACAGCTCACTGCCAAATGCTGCTTATCCCTGTGCTGGCATCTATCGCCAAAACTCATGTGGCTTGACTTAGTGCCACTGTTTTGTACCATTTCATCTGCGCTATTTGTGTACCAAGCAAGTTCTACCAACCACGTTCCCTTTGCAGTGTGGAAATGGAAAGCTGTTGGCAACACGCAGCAAACCCCATGACCTGTCATCCATGACGAGGATCTGTAATAGTACTACATAATGATCCTATGTTTGTGACAGGCAGTACATCACAGCGTGTTAATATCTGTAAGTAAATGCTGTGATGGAACGGGCTGTCCTAATTGGCTTTCAACTTTAGACATAGGATGAGGCGGCTCTGTGAAATGTACATTTTTTTGGGTCAAAATTTTGTGCAGTGCTTTTATCGAGAGATCGAGGGATTTTCAACATAGCATTTCTAAATATACTAGTTTTCTTTAGAAATAATTATTTCTATCTGCACACAATAAAAGAGCAGAAAAAGAATTGTCTCACAAAGCAGGAGATGGATATAGAAAGTTATCACAGCATTTCCAGGTGAACAAGAATTGGAGTGAGAAGTATCATCAAGAAATTCAAAGAGCCACAAAGTACAGGACAAGCCTGGCAGAGGTAGGAAGTGAACGATTTCAAAGACTCTGAAAGAAAACTAGTGAGAAATGTGTTTGAAGACCCCAGAACAACTGCCAAGACACTAGCAAGAGACGTAGCTAAGTCAGGATCTGTAGTCTCAAAGAAGACAGTCACCAGAATCCTGCACAGGAATGGACTGAGAGCTTGCAGACCAAGAAGAAGAGACACCCTAAAGCCAGACTGAAGTATGCGGGCAAACTGGAAGCGCTACCTTTGGTCAGATGAGATGAAACTAGGGTTTTGTTTGTGTGTAAAATAATGCAAGGATCCAAAAACTAGGATTTTTGGAAAAGCATTTTCTTTTCATTTTGTGACCTTCAGACACTCGGCCACTTTATCTTTGGTTCTCAGTGATTCCGTCTTCTGTACAAGTTTGTGAATATTCATTTCATTTTAGTTTTTTGTGCCATTCCTTACTTCAGTTAAAATTATAATAGCATTTGTCGACAAATAGTAAAAAACCCAGATCTTTTTAGTTACCATTAAATATTAGTGTCATTTAGAGCAATATATTATTATATATCAGGAGAAAATGTAATCATGTGCATGCTTGTTTTATTAGATGCGCTTACGCCAGCATCCAGCCCATCATCGGTTGTTTACGGCGTGGTGGCTGGCCAGGAGGAATTGTCATCTTCATCCACATCACTGAACCTGGAGTGCCGAGTGTGTTCTGACCGCGCCTCGGGCTACCACTACGGAGTCCATGCCTGCGAGGGCTGCAAGGTGAGATAAAGATTTTTGTAAAATAAAGAAGAAGTGCTCTGAGAGCGCACACGGCAAGGCAGCTCACTCTCTGGACAGTATTTACTTTTAAGAGAATTGTGTTGTATTTTTTTTATACATTCATTTTGTTTTCTTCGGTCTTTTTTAAATGCACTTAAAGACGTTTATAGTGCTGTAAAAACAAATGTAAAGTGCAGGCTTTTGTTATTTTCCTTTTTGAATTTAATATGCTTGACATACTCAGATTTTGAGTGTACAGTATTCCCACGCCACACCGCGGTTCACGTTTTGCGGACTCTCTACAATCCCGGATTTATCTATAAATTTATATCACGGGAATTTTGTTAAATCGCGGGTTTCTGCAGCCTATAGGTATACTGTGCCGCTGCACATACAAATGTTTTTAAAATACGTATGGATGTATCTCAAAAGTGTTTAGGAGGGTAGAAAAGTTTTATAAGAGTGTGCAGAGGGTTTTTATGGTTTTAAATATATAAAAATAATAAAATAAACATGGTTTTTACATTCTAGAACGTAACCCCTCGGATAATTGCGGGAGTACTGTAATTAGTTTTTTCATATGTGCCTACACTACATGTGTAGCATTCATGCAATTGTTGTATAAAATTCCTTTAAATGTTTAATAAATAATGCAGTGCTAACAAAGTCAAAACTCCCTTGGCGAATGTAGCTATTGTCGAAAAAGTGGTTCTGTCATTATGCTCGATAGACTTCATAGGTCCTTTTGCCAGATGAGCGCACTCATCTTTTCACCCTATGCCCTGCTTAATCTTTACCACCAATATCCATCCAATCTCCTTCCCCATACGGCACCCTCAGTGAGGCACAGAAAGCCAGCTTAACCCACTTTAACCAGTTTCAATAGAGTAAATTATTTCTTATTTTTAGGTATAACACTAAAAAAAGAAGGAAAAGCCAGACTGAATCCAGGTGCAGTGTGTGTCTTGTGACTAATGATGGCTTATAACAACATCGTAAATGTCACATTTGGCCTTTACACATGGTTGCTTATTAGTCATTCAGTTAATTGTTTACCAGTTGTTGAAGAGGAAACCAAGGCCGTCTTAAGATAAACTAAGGGTCAAAGACGGTGTGACTTGAGATGTTTTTCAGCTACTGCTGGCTGTCACTTACTTCAGGTAAACGATCTGGAAGACATGGCGATTAAATCGGGGGACGTCTGTACTTCTGCGCTCTGTAAATACACTTAACTTAGATGTGTCAGCCAGTGATAGAAGTGATAGAAAAACTCAGATAAAATGGAATAATCATGTTGCGTGACTGTAGATCAGTGCTTTGATACAGATGTATCTGTAGTAGATGCTACCTGAGGTCAGTCCACAGGTCAGCCAGAGTTGTTTTACAGCAAGTCTTAAGGCTGTAAAACAATAAATCAAAGGAATTTCTCCGAAGTCAAGGTAAATTTGTTCAGCCTATACCTTTAGGAAAAAGTCATGTCAGTGCATATCTATAAGAGGTGGCCTGAAAGTACTAAAGGTTAATGTTAAACCCCAAACTTTGAACATGAGTTGAATGGGAGAAGTCAACATTTCTTGATCATAACCAGAAAATCTGGAAATTGTGCCTTTAATTACAAATTTAAACAGCGTTATCCTCACGTTCTCTTAAAGCACTCAATAACTGAGAAATGATTATGTAGAGCAGGAGTTCTCACATTGCTGATGACAGCTGTGAGAAGAAAGTGAGTCCTTCTGTCACCTTGTATAATGAGCTGAGTGAGTGACTGATGACAGTGAAAGGGTTACTGGGATGTGGGAAGAAACTGTAGGAAGTATTCGAGAAATTTAATGAAATTCTGAAATATGGATGACTAAATATGCCACAATCAAAGTTACAGTTGAGGAAAAACAGCAGTAGTTTAGCCAAAATTAGAAAAAAATATGAATGAATGAAAATCAGATTTTTACTTTGTTTAACGTTGATAAAGGTTTTTCTGTTACAAGCTACTGATGATTGCACAGCCAAACCATGGAATCGAAGTCTTTATTTCAAAGATATAAGAAAGAAATGTTAATTTACAAAAGAAATAAATGAACATGAAATAAAAGAAAGCTATCATATTCACGTTTCACATCAAACTTTTAAATGTCTCTCTGCTGCAACACAGCTGAGTGAAAATGACTCATTAACAAGACTCTGTAGGACTTGACTGCATGCTAAATAAATTTAAGTGTTTGGAAAATTGTATTTCTAAAAATACTATTATTGTACCATGTTCATTCACTAATGAGCTGCTGTAACATGAATCAAATGACTGAATTGTCACTTCAGCATGTAGTCAAGTTTTTCTAATGACCTACTAATTTTATTAAGGTGTTCTGCAGCAGGGACACATAGAAAAGTTTCAGGACGCTGGCCCTCGAGGACTGGAGTCTGACACCCGTGCTTTAGGTCATTATATGCCAGGGGTGGGTAACTCCAGGCCTTGAAGGCCAGTGCCTTGCAGGTTTTAGATCTCACCCTGGGTCAGCACACCTGAATGAAGTGATTAGTTCATTACCAGGCTTCTGAAGAACTTCAAGACATGTTGAGGGGGTAATTCAGCCGTTTGAATCAGCTGTGTTGGATCAAGGACGCATCTAAAACCTGCAGGACACCAGCCCTTTAGGCCTGGAGTTCCCCCACCCCTGTTATATGTGTATAAGTTTTCATTATACAATCAAATCTATACATATATGTGCTAAATAAATATACTTATCGAATACACAGGCTTTTTTAGATTAATATATATATTAGTGCTGCCAGCGTTAATCTCATTAAAATGACGTTAAACGCCATAACCGCATTAACGTGGCAAATCTCTGTTAGCGAGTTACTGCGGATCGCCCCGTGCGTGGGGCTTCACGGCGTCAACGTGTTAAAATATCTTTATATATATATCTGTATACACTGATCAATAGTTATTTAAATACACATAGTATTTAAAAGTATTGCTTTTTATATACACAAATATCCATATTTAATGTAAAGCATGACCATTAAGCACCCTGCCTCATCCATATACTGATTTAGAAGTGCTTTTTTTTTTTTAAATATAATTTTTTTTATTTGTGTAAAAATTAATTAATTAATTAAAAAAATAAGGAGGAAACAACCATGGAAACCACCTGTTTTTGTTTAGTTCTTCTCTGATGTTTGGTCAGCGATCAGTAATAGAAACATGACCCTCACCAGTCAGGACATGGCCAAAGCCGGCATGCAGCCCACTTGAGCGAATCTGAATTTCTTTTCCATCACCGTGTTATTGTATACCTGTTTGTGTGCCAGTGTCAGGCTCAGGGTTAGTAGGTGAAAGTCAGCCGGTGTTGCGAGCTCACATGACTGTCACACGTCTGTGTATTCTTGCTCCGTACATACTCTAGCAAACTGATTGACTGAGTTTTGGATGAAATCTTTGAAGCTTGCTGTTAGCAAGTAAAGGATAAATATGTTATGAAGCACCTCCCCAGGACATTTTCCTACCCTTCGATGAACTATAAGTGCTGTTTGGTCCATCTGTTCCTTACCAAAGTTAAATATTGCTTTGTGTTAAGGTTGTGTAAACAGAAGGAAACTGGTGGTATTGCTTTGTGAACAAAGAGCTGCTTTTCCCATGATTATCGTCTTAATACAGTGGGGAGACGATAATTTTATTTCTGAAACTGGCTGCTGAACGGCTAACTTTATTAAAAGTAAAATGTAAACTTTACTCTGTTTTATTTAAATTTTTATGAACTTTCTCAAAGAATACTTCACTTTGTGTCTGAGCAGTCTGGTCAAATGAAAACACATTTGCTTCATGTGAGCACTAATTACATTTCTTATGTTCTTTTTTTTAACCCCTCCCCTCAACCCCCCAGGGTTTTTTTCGCCGGACCATCCGTCTGAAGCTGGAGTATGACAAGTGTGAACGTCGCTGCAAAATCCAAAAAAAGAACCGCAACAAGTGCCAATACTGCCGCTTCCAGAAGTGCCTGTCAGTGGGAATGTCCCACAATGGTGAGTCCTGGGCAGTGCTTCGAGCTCAGAAGCACACATCCACACGTCCATCTTGCTTGTTACTTGTAAACACAGACTACTTAACAGAGTAGCACAGTTGTGCTGCTGCCAGGGAAGATTGAACAGGCACGTACCCACATAATTAGCACAAATAAGCCATCAGACAGTTGGGTGTTCAGATGCATGTTAAGGCAGGTCCCTAACTGACACCTAATTCAGGCGAATATAGATTTATATGTCGTCTTCATTTAACCTTTGGACAATTTCCACTCTTTTTATTCAGAAATAGACCAGAAACAAACCTGCAGATGGAAGGCACGCCCGTTCTCTGTCTTGGCAGTGCTAGTATCACATTGCATTATAATTACATTGGCTGAAACTGCTTGACCCATTTGGTGCAGATGTGCAAACAGGAAGGGAAAATCACATGACCTTGTGCGTCCCTCCACCCGATTTTTTTTATTTTTTATTTCCAGCTTGCAAATACCTGGCGCTCACTAATAGTCCGATTTTGTGCAAATTTAGCACATGGAGAACATCAGGAGAGCAAATTATTAAGAGTTTAAGTGGTTCTCACTATTGCTAATTTATCACCGTTACTAGTTCGTTGAACTTCCGCATAGTTCTATTCACTTGGACACTGAAAATAAATCTTGTGTTTTGCAGCAATAACCTCTATTTCTGTCTGTGTGTGAGGGGAGATATGCATGTTGGAACACAAGGATTTCACAATTGGAAAAGCTTAAAAGATTCCCTCCTTGGTGTGGGCTGTCTTTCTTTTAAATACAAAAATATTGTGTGAAATGATATTTACACTCAAAATATAGCACGTCATGTTGACCCTGGGCTAAGGTCATTGTGCTGATCGAAAACATGAGTGTATGTGTTTGTATGAGTGGACTTCTGCTAAAGGTATCAATGCAGCCAGTCCGTGCACACAGTGTGTAACAGCTTTGATTTCTCTCTGGAGAGATTGACCGAATATAGCCTTCTCTGTTGAGATATAGTTTAGGTTACCCCTCCTCTTATGGTTTATGTTATTGACTTCATTGAGCAAAATGTAAGCGAGTACAGGAACTTGAGGGTATGTGAGACCGTCGCAACCTTACAACCTGATCTTTGGAGGTGTGGTGACACCAGAGGACCACAGCACGGCTATTTTTGTATGTCTCTTTGTATCGATTTAGAGTCATTTACAGTAGCCACAAGTATTGCATTTTATTTTATTTTTTTAAATTTCAAATGTAAACTGATCAGACATTCAAAGTTAAAGCGTCAACAGAAAGGTGAAGAAGTTTAGAATAAAAATGGTTACATTTACATTTCAGTCTCAGCATGTAGTTTATGTAAAAGTCTTTATTTCCAAAACGTACCGTATTTCCCGGACTACAAAGCGCACCTGAATATTAGCTGCAAAAGCTAAAATCAGGGGAAAATCCTGTTTTGTACATACATTAGCCGCACCTGACTAAAAGCCGCAGGTGTTTCAATGTTGACTTATCATATGTAAGAGAATATGCACAAAGGGAATTGTCAGGAAAGAGATGGCTGTTTGGAGACATCACTTTTATTAATATTTTGAAAAACAAGTTATGGGTACATATTTGCACATGTAGTACATAACAGTAACCTACAGCACACCAGAAAAATAGATTCGGACTACCTTTTAGGCTCAGGTGCAGTGACACGGCTTTAACAAGAAGAAAAGTCAGTCATTCACCATCTTTCTCTTCTTCCTGCGCACTAAAACCACCAAAGTCCTCTCCTCCAATGTCGGAAACGAACAGGCTCAGGATGGCTTCGTCATCCACTCTCCGCTTCTCTCCTTCGTTGTCACTTTCAAAACCAAAGAAATCCTCGTTGTCAGTGTCAGAGTCGAACACCCTAAGAAGGGCCGTGGCGGTGTCCTCCTCTCCATCATGCAGCAGTCCAGCCCTTCAAAATCCGTTGGTGATCGTGGATGTTTTCACACTTTTCCACGCTGTCAGAATCCACCGGTGGAGTTGGGCATAACTTGCTTTTTGCAAGTTTATCGCCGCTCATCATCCACGACTCCCGCTGAATGCGTAGCGCTACTTTGAAGTTTGTTTTTCGCGCTACTTCGTACGGCACTACGTTGCCTGGCGGACGGACATGTGACTAACATACCACTCTTGAACCCCGATCCTTCCGCCAGGCAACGTAGTGCCGTACAACAGCGGAACAAACAAAACAAATCGTCTTACGATATGACAAAAATCATGGAAAATCCATAGAAAAGCCGCACCTGACTAAAAGCCGCAGGGTTCAAAGCTTGTGCAAAAAGTAGCGGCTTATAGCCCGACAATTACGGTAATCGAAAAAAGGACTGGTACACCGATCAGGCAGTGATCAGACTCATCTGTTAGTGGGTGGGATATATCAGGGAGCAAATGAACATTTTGACCTTGTAGTTGACATGTTAAAATCAGGAAAAATGGGCAAGTGTGAGAATTTGAGCAAGTTTGACAAGAGCCGAATTGTGATGGCTAGACGGCTGGGTCAGAGCATCTCCAAAACTGCACCTCTTTTAGGGTGTTTCCAGTCTGCAGCGGTCAGTATCTGTCAAAGTTGATCCATGGAAAGAACAGTGGTGAACCAGTGACAGGATGATTGACGCACATGAGGAGTGAAGGATCGCCAGTGTGGTCCGGTCTAACAGACAAGCTATTGTAGCTCAAATTGGTGAAAAATATTTAATGCTGATTCTGATAGAAAGGTGTCAGAATACACAAATGAGTCAGGGATGGGCAGTCAGATTTTTTTTGTCTTTTGGGTCCTGCCATCCATGTGGATGTTACTTCACGCATACCGCCTACTTAAGCAATACTGCAGACCACGTGACCCTTTCATGGAGGCGGAATTCCCTGATGGCCTCTTTCAGCAGGATAATGCACCCTGCCACAAAGCAAAAATGGTTCAGGAATGGTTTGAGCACAAGTTTGAGGTGTTTGATCCATGGAGGCCTCACCTCTCAGCTTTGAGGACTTAAAGGATATGGTGCAAACATCTTGGTGCCAGATATCACACCACACCTTCAGGAGTCTTTCCCTGAGGAGCCGGGCTGTTTTTAGCAGCCAAAGAGGACCAAGACAATATCTAGGCAGGTGGTCATAATGTTATCCTTCATCATGGTATATAGTGCTTTTCTACTCTAAATGAACACTCAAAGTACTTTTTTAATACAAGCTTCATTCACCCAAAAATACACACATCGCACTTTTCTTTACCCAAACACTTTGTTTCTAAGCATTGCAACAGCACAAAAACTCTTTATTAGCAAAAGAGACTGAAAGTTTTCTCAAATCCAGCAACTTATTTCCTCACGCATTTCATTTGCTGACAAGACGCAGACGGCTCAGCAGACTGACGGACTGACCCCTGCCCACCTTCAGCTCCCTTCCACGCTTATCCCCTCATACTGTTGCTTAGGAATTAGACTTACACGAAGCTTAGCATCAATCACTTCCTCACATCTTAATTGGACTTGGCTCCTGGCTAGGCGCCCACCGTGGAGCTTTACTAGCTTCAGATGATCCATCCACATTCTGAGCAGTAATCTAACGGGCCCTCGTGCTGCCTGCCAGCTCAAGGTCTCATCCTTTCGCAGTCCTCTTCAGTATGCTCGGATTCATTTTGTAAGCAACCATCAATAAATGTCTGATGTTTTTTTTTAATGCTTTTACGGGCTCATAAAAAACAGGCAGTTAGTACAGCTGGTCTCCTCACACAGACGTGCAGATTTGTGTGTGAGTAAAACAGCTTGTGCACATTTAAACTAGTGAAGAGGGGTTGGAAATAGTTCACCTCTAATCTCATTAGTCAAATGGGATCAGACAGTCTGAGCGATGCCAGCATCCTCTCATAGAGAAATAGCGCTTATTAACACATGTTGTTGAAGAACGTTTCAAGCAAATGTTGCCCACTTTGTAATTTGTGCTAACTTATGTCATTACTGTAATGCATAAAAAGTCCATTTGCCTTTCAATGGGCGACCGTGGCTCAGGGGGTTGGGAATCGCATCTGTAACCGGAAGGTCGCCGGTTCGATCCCTGGGCTCTCTGTCCTGGTCGTTGTGTCCTTGGGCAAGACACTTTACCCTACTTGCCTACTGGTGTTGGCCAGACGGGCCGATGGCGCGATATGGCAGCCTCGCTTCTGTCAGTCTGCCCCAGGGCAGCTGTGGCTACAACTGTAGCTGCCTCCACCAGTGTGTGAATGTGAGAGTGAATGAATAGTGGCATTGTAAAGCGCTTTGGGTGCCTTGAAAAGCGCTATATAAATCCAATCCATTATTATTATTATTATTATAATGGCAAGCAGACATGTTTACTGTCTCTTTTTTTTTCTTCTTATCCTTGCACAATGTTTCATATAGCACAGGATATTTCTGATGCACTGAAAATTGTTACATATTTGACTGAACCTTCTATGGTAAAGTGTTTTTCCTGACCTTTTAAACTGTTTTTGTTGCTGTAGATTTATTGTACGTGTTCAGGCATAGCGAGATGTTTTGGCAAAAGCCAGGGGAACTAAATTGACTTCATGAAACAAGTCTCTTGTTTCTTCGATGTTTGTACTTTCATCCGGCTATAAGCCACTGAATTTAAGCTGGCACTGAGACGGGCAGATACAAGTTAAATTACATCTTTGATTGAGCTCAGCATTGGACGTTTATGGTGTTATCGTGGAATGTGTTCTGTTGTGTTCAGCTATAAATGCCGTTTTAACTTGTCCATTCCATCTGTGTATTCTCTTCCACTAAATTCATCCTGTGCTTGTATGTTATTCAAGAGTTCCTTCTTTAGAATACAATATAAGGCTGTCTGCACATCCTCTGTGGTGTTTGGCAACAGATATGCTTTCTGCAGTATTACCATATTAAAGTATTAGCTTTTTGAATTTGCAGAAATTGTTTATATTTTCTGGATACATTTAATATTTTGCCTTCATTTTTAAGTTTGCTTGAAACAGTTGTATTTAGCAAGGTGCTTTTACTGGAACTGCACTTGGTGTAACTGAAATAAATCTATGACTCGACACTTTTATGTCACCACAAAGTCATCTCCATCTCTCTGTGTGCTGTCCGCAGCCATCCGGTTTGGTCGGATGCCCCAGTCAGAGAAGCTCAAACTAAAGGCGGAGATGGTGACGGTGGACAAAGAGGTGGAAAACCCCCAGCTAGCTGACCAGAAGACCCTGGCCAAGCACATTTATGAGGCTTACCTGAAGAACTTCAACATGAACAAGGCCAAGGCTCGATCCATTCTCATGGGCAAGACCAACACTGCTGTACGTTGATTAGTGAGTAAAGTAATGGGTTGGTGAGTGAAAAGTGTTGCACATGTGGACCTCATATTCGCACGTTCTTCCATTTCCAGCTTTTCCTCATAGTGCGAGGTCATGTGGTTTTGTAACTTTTAATTTATTTTTTCATGTCTCAATATGACCTGGCAATCGCTCCCTTAGAGATTAGACACAGCCAGCCAATGACAAAAATAAGTTGCTCAACCAGCGGAGCAATTCAGCACACAGGATGGGCAAGGACTTACTTAAGCCTGTTACTTAGCCTTTCACTGTGCATTTCCCTTAATGTGTATGTTCTTTTTATCACCCATTCCCATTCACCCTAAAAGCATTCCCCCCTCCAATGTGCTTCTTTCCTACCGAGGGGGATAAAAAGCGGGGGGCTAGAAAAGGAGAGGTTCATGGACTGCAGCCCAGAGAGTCTGAATTCCATGGATGGATGTGTAGGTGTAAAATAGGTCAAGAGGGACAGATCGGTCCAAGCGCTCATCCAAGTTCAGGCACAGATCTTATCCACTGCTTCAAAGCTCCTGATGAACAAGCAGAGTGGGTAGAAAGTACTCAGTGACTGATTATTGTTTAACCTACCTTTGCTATCGCAGCGCTTTTACACAACTCGTAACTGCCCATAAAAGTCTTGTTGTAATTTCAGTAATATACATCTCAATAAGTCTCGTCAAATTTAACTTTACTCATACAGAGACTATTAAATATACATGTGTATATATATATATATGTCTTGATCTGGATACAAATGCTTGTCACTTCAACCCAGGCCTAAAGGTCTCACCAATGAGTAAATAGCAAGTTTCTGCATTCTGAAAACTTTATAAGTGTAGATTAGTATCCCCCCCCTGCTTTGACGTGTTACTCCACTGCAGCGTCTTCTGTTTAGAAAACAATTCAAATGATTGCAATGCCAGTACACATTTGTGTAGTTCATGTGGCAAGCAGTGATATAATATAAGGACAGTTCCTGAAAAGTGTATCGTGTGACAAATTGGAATCAGCAACAAGTTGTGGAAAACACTAGTTTTGCTATTTCACTTAAGAGAAATAGAAAGACGCTTTTCAAAAGAATTCCACCTATTTAGTCTTTCTTTTAATGCATCACAATAATAATTCTAGCGAGTTTTACTCAAAAATATGTTGTGCTCAAAAAGCAGAGTATACACGCTTTGACTTCTGGAGCTGTGAACCTTTTTTGATCTTCTCCTCATCTGAACCTCCGTTATCAAATCAAGGAATGTTAGCATGACGTAAAAGTACAAAATTAACCACCTCAGCGTTGTGTTGCGCATACCTTCCCTTGTTACTCTAGCCCACAGTTAGAGCAGCATTCATGAGTCAGAGCTCCGATGTGCAGCAGCAGGTGTAAAGCTGTTCATCGAAATGCTGTAACTTGTCCTCTGTGGGAACAGTGACATAACCGAAACACCCGTTAACTGCCCACAATGCTTTTGTATGGTTTCTGTACAGGTACACTCACTGTAAACAGACCTCTTGACAGGGCACTGGGCACAGTGTCAACATTTAAAATTTTAGACATTTTGAATTAAACTCTGTGTTCACGCTGCATTTCTTTGAGCTCTAACTGTGCCTTCAGTTGTGGATATTGTGAGTAACATCTAAATTTTTTTTTTAATTGTCTTGGTCGATGATTTCGTTGTTGTGACAATGCTTCTTGGAAATAAATTTTATACTGTTGGAAAGCCTGTTTGTTTGCCCAACAATGGCGCCAGAAAATGACAGAAAATGCATTTGTGGGTTGCGCATATGAAAAACAAAAAAACCCCTAAAAGCCAAATCTTTACGTTCCAGATTTACTGCCAAGAACAGTTGTTACAACAAAGAAATAATTGATCAAACACAAATTTCCTTACTTTTTGTGCGAGGTTTATAATTATAGTTACCTACAATCATATATTTCTTATTTTTCTATATAAATATAATTGAATTCAGCAGAACTTCAAGCACGTAATAGTGAGCTGGTTTTTCTCAAGCACCGAAACAGCTCTGACTCAGGGCATGGATATGGGACCTCTGTGGGTGTCCAGCGGTTTTTGGCACTAGAACACTGGCGATGGATCCTCTGGGCCACATGTCCCCGCTTGGTTCACTCGGATTTGGAATTAGTGGAATGTGTGCATCAGCATCTAAGTTTAAGTAAGTTTTAGCTGTTCAAGTAACTTTCACATGAATTCAAGCATTGCGTTGTGATGAGATGATCACTGTTGCACTTTGTGCCTGTTTGTGGGTTTAATGATGTGGCTGGTGTGTGTGTGTAGCAGTAAAATGAAGGACAGTACGCGTGTCATCGCGGAAACAAAACATTCAGATGTCAATAAGGGCTCTAGGCTTAGCCTTTCCTCTCAGTGAAGATTATTATCTGTAAACACTCCAGTCAGTCAGTTATTCACGTTGACAAGTTTGCTGAGTCGGCATGTTCCATGTCAGGTCTCGTCTGTCACGAATCGTCTTTTGTTAACAGGCCAAAATCCCAGTTCTCGCTTCTATAACCTGTGTTGCATTTCAGCTGAGACACATTTTTAACAAAGCATTATATTTTTAGTTTTATAGTGACGTTTATTTCCCTACCATCCACAGCCTTTTGTCATTCACGACATGGAGACCCTCCAGCTGGCAGAGCAGACACTGGTGGCCAAGATGGTCGGCTCCGTGGGAGCGATGAAGGACAAGGAGGTGGAGGTTCGGATTTTCCACTGCTGCCAGTGCACGTCGGTGGAAACCGTCACGGAGCTCACAGAGTTTGCAAAGTCCGTCCCCGGGTTCTCGAGCTTGGACCTCAACGATCAGGTGACTCTTTTGAAATACGGAGTGTACGAAGCCATTTTCGCCATGCTCGCCTCCAGTATGAACAAGGACGGGCTTCTTGTAGCGTACGGCTCAGGCTTCATCACCCGGGAATTCCTCAAGAGCCTGCGTCGACCGTTCAGCGACATGATGGAGCCAAAGTTCCAGTTTGCCATGAAGTTTAATGCGCTGGAGTTGGACGACAGTGATCTGGCTCTCTTTGTGGCTGCCATCATCTGCTGTGGCGGTGAGGAAATTTGTTGCATGCATTCTTCAGTATCCTATAAAATCCTTTTTACATTACAAAAGATGATGATGTTTCTCTCATTTTCATTTTGGCTAGACCGGCCAGGCCTGGTGAATGTGGCACACATCGAGGTGATGCAGGAGAGCATCGTCCAGGTCCTGCAGCTCCATCTGCTGGCCAATCACCCCGATGACACTTTCCTCTTCCCCAAGCTGCTGCAGAAACTAGCTGACCTGAGGCAGTTAGTCACTGAGCACGCACAGCTTGTGCAGGAGATCAAAAAGACAGAGGACACCTCACTGCATCCGCTCCTGCAGGAGATCTACAGAGACATGTACTGAAGACTTTGGAGGTATAACCACAGTAGGAAAACAAGAAACCATCTCCTTCTGAGCGGGGACTTGAAAAGAAGAGGAGACGTCCACATACTGGGTTTGAACCACTTAACCTCTGACCCTAAAGGGTTAGCTTTGGTGTCTGTCCAGTGTAAGGGAACCTAAAGGTGAAGAAAAAGGAGGCTGATGATTCATTTGATTTGACAAAGTGCTTTCCACTTCATTGTGTGTGAACCTTATCAGGCAGAAGAATCATGTATGCTAAGATACTTTGTACAGCTGATTGAGCCCCTGTCCAGACACCACTGAATGCAATCTCTGACCAAACTCTAAATGTTCTTTTTTCCATATTTTTTTTAAAACGTCTGTAAGGTCGCCTCCTTGGTGAAACCCTGAGGTAACCCTAATTTGAAGAACAAAAGTGAACTTTATAATTGCCACTCCAGCCGGATGTTTTACAGCAACGAGCCATATGCCCGAATAACTTAATAACAGCAGCAATTATGCAGTTTAAATCAAGGCAGCTTCTCCTCAATTGGCTACCAAAATGTGGCCGGTTGAGGAGCCAGTGGTTATGAGCACACCAGCCCGCCACCGTGATTCTCAAGCTTTTCTGTGGAGTCACGTCCTGAACATAACCATTTTATCTGTACGTCATGTCCCCGAAGTCATACTTCTTAATGACACAGTAGAAATTGCCATCATCATTATTATTATTTTCTTTTATTTTAATATTCTTAACAAGAAATACGACTTAGTGCTTAAGTTGTCCACAAACTGTACTGGGAATGCTATTTTTTTTTTTTTAAATTAGGTAGCAGTGCCCAAAGTTCAGACTCACTGTGTACATGCACCACAATGCACTGAAGCACAAGCATGCCTGTGATATGTTAATGTGACACTTTTCTAATGGAGGTTTCAAAGGACAAAAAAGACATACACAGGTGTTTAGCACTCCCTCCTGATGTGTGTTCTGGTATTAAAGGGCTAACACTGTTATTAACCACAATACAACTCTGACACGGGCGACACATGAATTCACTCAGCGAATCTCTCTCTCTGTTATTGTGTTTAACTGTCTGTTTGGTCCTCATAACACACGTGTTAGTTAAGATTTAACAATCTTATGTGCACATTTTTCCCTGATGAAAATGTAATTGTTTTTATTTTTCCCAGCTAAGAGAAAACCACAGTGATGAGGCCTCATTGGTGAAACATCTAGTTTGTTAGTTGAAAGGTTGTCACACTTTCATTTGTTTAGTTTTCTCTGTGAAATCACTTGGCCAGTTATAGAAGACAGTCAATCTGGACGTATGCAGGTAAAAGAAAAATGAGTCTGTAGCCCTTTTCCTACTCAGTTATTCTCTGGCTTTGGTGTTTTTTGCTATCTAACAAAATAGGCACATTTCCATGTGAAAGTGCCGCTCCTGCATTTTGTTGTCACACTGCCTTTAATATAAAATACATACGGTGGACATCAGAGGACCTATGTTAAGGGAATGCTGAAAACATGCATAGTTTTCTGATAGTTCGGATCATACACATCTGACTCTCTGTGAGAGGGCGCTACTCCTTTTCTGCCTCATCACTCACACTGTCCTGAAATGATCATTGAATTCAGAGAAATGTTCCTTATGTTTGTAACACATCGCAACATCAGAGCAGGCTTTACATAACTGAAGCTTTCACACTGACTGCTCACCCCAGCTTTTAACTCTCGTGGTAAACAAGGTACTAATGATGATTGACTTTTGTATTCGTAAGTTGGGTGAATACTTTCAGATGTTTGAACATTTACAGTAAATGTAGTTATGTACTGTTTTTTTTGTTTTTTTGTTTTTTTTTGGTCTAAATGCGTCATGCTTGTCTTTGAATCGAATCGTATTTTTATACTGAAGTATGACTAATATATATATATATATATATATATATATATATATATATATATATATATATATATATATATATATATATATATATATATATATACATACATAACAAAATCTCACATGTGTTTAGTTGAAATGGCACAGCTGAAGAGTACATTGTAAATAGACTTAAGGTGTAACAGGGCAACTGGTAATCTGGATATCCATAGATCTGAATTTTTGAAATGGAGAGTCATCTAGACCATAATGTGCATTCAGTTCCTTCAAGTTGCACTTCGTTTATCTGTCGAATTAAGCACTAGAATTTTAAACTGCAAGCATGCGTGGTCTGCGCAGGGCTACACTAGCTTACACGTTTGAGTGGTTAGTTATAAACTTGACCTCTGTGACCTTTTGATTACCATGAAGAGTAAAAAGGAACAAAACATTTCATAGGAAATGTGAAGGCACAGCTTAGCACTGATCATCCAGTACTAATCCCTTCTTCTAATGCTTTTATCTCAGGTTGTACATAAGAAAACAAAGGGGGTAATATATGCACAGATTGGGGGGGGTGGGGGGGTCACATAATATCTCTGTTGGTTTATAGAGAAACTGAATGCACTCGTAATGTAATTTGCCATTAAATCACATGCTATAGCAGTAAATGTGTTGCAGTAATGAGAAAAACACGTATATTGTTTTACAATTCTGATCTCATCGTGCTTTTTCTCTTTGTTTTTGTCTGACTTTTCTCACTCGCTGCTATATTGTAATAACTTACCAAGCATTTCTTATGCCATAAGTAGATTACTGATCTTTAAACTGCCTCTACTTGCATATATCTGGTCACAGAATGTCAGACCCACTTCAGCGCAGCTCAGTTTTTAACCTTGCAGATTTCCTGGGACTCGCTCATCCCAGGTGTGCTCGGGGAAAAACCACAAACCTGTGTGTGCCTTAGTGTGTGCCATAAAACACCAGATTTAAAAAAATAAAATAAAATAAAAAAAGTTTCTTGCGCACACACTTGTAAACTGTTGGCATCTTCAGCTAGATTTAGCTGTTTGTGACACAAAAGGGTCCCACAGGCTGGAAAATAATGTCACTGTACATTCTATACAATGTGCACCCTTCTGGGCAGTAACAGTGAAGGATTTGCTTTTCAAAAATACAGACTTTTTAAATGTTAAACATTAAAAAAAAAAAACTGCTAGAAACTTTATCAACAAGGCAACTTAAAATGTCATGTAAATTTGCAAAGTCAGCTTTCCCTTAAGAATGTTTTTTTGTGTGTTGAACTGTCAAGGGACTTTTAAACTTTTATCAGGGAATCGTAGTCTTCCTTTGTTGAACTAGCTCAGGATATAGGACAGTACTGTTTTCCCTTCCTCATTCACTCTGGAGTGAGTATAGAGTGCTCTGCCTTACAATACGCATACACCAACAACAATACAGATTAAGATTACCTTTATTTTTGTTTTTCCTGAACTGAAAGAAAGAAAAGAAAAACTTGGGCTTACTTGGGGCAGCAGTTATAGGATTTAGAAACGTGATTTTTTTTTTCTCTCCTGAGTTAAACTTGTTTCTGTGGCTGTAGTGTCATGCAAAGAGACCATGGAGTCTCCCTTTCGATGTGTTGTTAATGTGTACTGTGGCTTGATAACAATACTGTAAATGTTTGATGAATGTATATTTAGTCATTTAAACGATGAAACAAATTGAGATTGAATGGATTTAAAAATAAAGTGATTTTAAAATCTGCTACGTATCGTGTGTTCAGACTTTAGTAGGTAACGCCAGTCAGTGCAAGTTATTTTTATTATAACATTGCCTTATTTACTTTTTATACCAGAGCTAGGTTTCTAGTTCAGATGCATCTTTACGACACCAAGATGTGCACATACAAAACCAAGGTGCCATCAACAAGACTGCTGAGGGACATTTAACCACATATTAGATGAGCTGTATGTATACTTTTGATCCTGTGGGTCATTTTAAAACGGGTAACTCCAGCAAACTGGTAGTCCAAACTGCAGAACCCTGGATTTGCTGCTGAGCCTTTTCTTTATGCCCAATTCATCCATGACTGTCAACCTTCCCGTGTGACAAACACCATTAGTTCACACAACGGTCATTGGCCTGATCTCCAGTTATGATGAGACTGCATACAGAGATAAAGTGCAGAACCTAATGGCACGGTGCACCACTAACAACCTCACCACACACACACTGTCTCCTTGGTAGCAAAACCAAGGAGATTGTGGTGGACTTCAGACCGTCTAAGACATAGGTGTCAAACTCTGGCCCGCAGCCTAATTACATTTGGCCCGCGAAGCCATACCAAATTACTATTAGAGCTGGCCTACTGGTATTATACAGCTAATATATATATTGTTTAGTATTAAGCTTTGCTTGTTCCATATTCAGTTTTCCAGCAAAACTTATTTGAGTCCATAAGAAAAGATTCATTCCTATATCTGGAGGAAGATTTTTTTTTTTTTAATAAATATTAATGTTATCCCGTGACTTTGTTCCAGTTTTGAATTTTGGCCCACTGTGTAGTTGAGTTTGACACCCCTGGTCTAAGAGAACAGACACAGGTCCTGTGTACATCAACAAAGAGGCTGTTGAAAGAGCCTATAACTCTAAATTCCTCTGTGTGCATATTAAAGATGAACACTCTTGGTCCAAGCAAAGTCATTTCGTTGTTTTGCTTCCCTGCGCATCAGAGGGGGAAAATAGCTCAAAGAAATCATTAAAAGTCCAAACTGACCACAGCATTCATGCCCACGATGAGTATATGTAAACTGCGGGTAGTACACCCAAGCGTTTCCTTGAGAACCACCGCACCAGAGGGCGCTCTGCTCCTACCAAACGACCCAAGCTTCTACTCAGTTCCACCTCCGTGTTCTTGTCACATTGTCCAACATGGCTGCGTCCATGGTGGGTATCTGCTGTTATGTGTGGCGGCGTGGCTCTTGTAATCTTCTCGGGCCGGCCACTCTTTGCCTCACACTCAGGTCTAAATTTCACTCTTCTTCTTCCGCGCACCACGGGCTGCTTCTCTCTCTGCACAAACGCGGCGTTCTGAAAGACTCATTCCCAGAAAACGCAGCCCAAGAGCAGCTCCCCCGGCTGCTCCAATCCGGTGCTCAGACGGTATACTGCGGATTTGACCCCACAGCCGACAGTCTCCATGTGGGGAACTTGCTCGCTCTCATCGGCCTGCTGCACTTCCGAGGCGCCGGACACCATGTGATCGCGGTGCTCGGAGGAGCCACGGCACAAATCGGAGATCCGAGCGGGAAGACGAGCGAGCGGGAGCAGCTGTCCGCGGACGTGGTGGAGGCGAACACCCACAGCATCCGGGAGAGCATTCAGAGGATCTTCACCAACCACGAGCTGCACTTTCACGACGGTTCCAGGCCGCTGGGAACCGTGACTGTTCTAAACAACCTGAGCTGGTATAAGAACTGGGGCGTGGTGGGGTTTCTGTCGGAGGCTGGAAGACACTTCAGGATGGGCACCATGCTCAGCCGCCACAGCGTGCAGTCCAGGCTAAAGAGCGCCGAGGGCATGAGCCTGACAGAGTTCACCTACCAGGTGTTCCAAGCTTATGACTTCCACCACCTGAACCAAATATACGGCTGCAAGATTCAGCTTGGAGGCACCGACCAACTGGGCAACTTGATGTCTGGCCATGAGTACATTCACAAGTAAATGTTTTTCCAAGCCCACTACTGTTACAGTACTGGGCTAATTAATTCATAATTACCTGTCCCTGATAAGCCTGCAGTCCACCTTTTGAAGCAGGACTAGGCTATTTTTGTGTGGATAAACCCTGCATGTATTTCAGACTCCATTATAAAATCTGCAAATTCACTATATATTCTTGATCATTAGATGCACATACATCAAATTTTTTGAGACATTAAGTTCTACACCCAATTATACCACCAAGATGTTTTTGGGTTGGGTTTTTGTTTTGTTTTTTTTGCCTGTCTCTCTACCAACCAAAACACACACATGCCTGCCAGATTTACCCTGAAGGCTGCCTTGAAACACTGAAAACGTTATTTTTCTCCAGAGTAAGCGGCGAGGAGGTGTACGGCCTGACCATCCCGTTAGTTACCAGCACTGTCGGGGACAAGCTGGGGAAAACTGCAGGCAATGCAGTGTGGCTCAACAGAGATAAGACGTCACCCTTTGAACTCTACCAGTTCTTTCTCAGGCAGCCTGATGCCAGTGTGGAAGGGTATGTGGAAGTGAAGGCTGATCATGTTTGTTGAGTTTTAATGAAAGTGCAATATCCACAAACGTCTCATCGCAACCCTGTTTTTATCCGAAAGTAAGTATTCGGTGCACAGTCATAGGATGCTGAGGTGTACTGTGTGGGCTGTTTTTTTTTTTTTTTTTTTTTTGTAGGTATCTGAAGTTGTTCACCTTTCTGCCTTTGGCAGAGGTAGAGAAACTGATGGAGCAACAGAGAGAAGATCCAAGTAAACGCCTCGCCCACAAAAGACTGGCTGCTGAAGTGACAAAACTGGTGCATGGAAAGGAGGGCCTGGAGACTGCAAAGAGGTTAGAATTGATCTGTGTGTTTATTCCCCTAAATTATACATTTTATTTTCTTGAATCCTCATCTAGAGCTCTTTTACGCTGTAACTTATTAGAGTCAAAGTGCATTGTGTTTAGAACAGCAGGACTATGCTCTGCCAAAAAGTGGAAAATGTTATGCCTGCAGTACAGTAAGAGGAAAGTGCTCATTGCTGTAGTCTTTGTTTGCTGTGGCTGCCCATGTCCTCTGTCTTCCATGTGGACAGAATGGTCATATTTAATGTCGTCATTGCAGATGCACCAATGCACTTTATCACAGCAGCGTGCAAGCCTTGGAGGAAATGAGTGATGAGGAGCTTCAGGAACTCTTCAGGGAGACACCTTTCCATGAGCTGCTGTTGGAGCCGGGGACAACTGTTATAGATGCCTGCCGCAAGGTCGGCGCCATCCCTGAGGGTCCCAGAGGGTAAGCACCCCAGTTCTCCTTTATCTAAATGCGGTACCAGAGTGGTATGTAGTGCTTTGATAGAGCTTGTTAGTGTGAGCATACATGCACCCAGAGATCCACAGTGTAATCTTTTGTGTATGGTGTGTAATGCAGTTACACATTCTGGGAAATAGAGGTGGGGGGATTGATCCAAATGTCGATAGCACCGATACCAAAGTTGGTATTTGTATCAGAACGAGAGTAGCAAGATAAGATCGATACTTTGTTTCTATCCTCCAGCCCGCTGAATTTTGTTAACCAAATAATTTTTTAGTAAATGAAGCTAAAATCTTCAATGAAAAACATCTGAACCTTTTTGAGTTGACTGTCACAGCTATTTTATTTCTATCCTGTAGAACACAAGTGCTGAAGAGTAGTGTTTTTTTGCAGCAGGTGCAGGAGTTTGTGGTCTCTTTGTTCTTCAGTGATAACGCTCACAGGTAGCCACAACAACTTCTTTGTGTCCGAGGTGTAACGATAACACCCAGTCACGATCACGCAGTCAAATTTCATAAGCTGGTTTCCTGAGAAAAAAAAAAGCATTGCTTGTGTTAGCTGGGTTGCAGCTGCCCCTACAGCCTGTAACCATGTAACAGTTTGATGTGTGCCTTTAGTGCAACGATAGCAACCAGTCACATTCACGCCGCCACATTTCAAAAAGCTTCTTTTGTAGAAAACAAAAGCGTTTTCTTTGATTCTAGCTCTGCTGTCATGTAGCTACAGCCAAGATAACTGCCACATCTAAGGTGTATAATGTAGCAACAGCCCTGCAACATGTAAACAGTTAAATGTGTCATAATTATAGGTTACCAGCATAAAAATGTCATGATCAGATTAACGTATTTTCAAAAATGTTGTTGAAAAGTACGTTGTTTCCTTCTTCTGGCTACTACCCAAGCCATGCAAAACTGCAAAATGAACCCAAATCATCAGCCCTCCACCGCCGTGCTTGACAGTCAGTATGAGGTGTTTGTGATTTGCTGTATTTGGTTCACTCCAAATGTGAAGGTCAAGTATATATCCACATTGGTCTTGTTTATTCAAAGGACAGCTTGCTTGTTTTTTAAGGAGAGAGGAGGCTTTCTTCTGGTAACGATTCCAAATAAGACTTGTTAACTCTTTTCTAATTGTACTATCATGAACTTCCGCATTTAAAAATGCTAACAAAGGCCTCTACTGTCTGTGATGTATCTCTTGGGGTTTTTTGGAGTTTCTCTGAACATTGCATAGTCTGACCTTTGCTGGGATGTGCACTTATCTGAGGATTGATAGCTCCCTTGAATGTTTCCGAGTTGTGAATAATCATTCTGACTGTACAGAGATGGAGTTGAAATTATTTGACCTTATGACCTTGTTAAAGCCACTGCTGTCTTTCCTCCTTGGCACTATGTTAACATGTGCCCGAATGCCTCAGACCAGTAAACTGCCAAAACCTTTAGAGGTGCTCACACTTGTAGATCAGTTAAGTCCATTTGATTAGCAGCTCCTGGATCCTCCTCACTCTCTAAATTCCTGTGGAAGAATACAGGGTGTACTTTCTTTTTCACATGACTTTTAGATTTTCTTTTTCAAGATGAAACCCTGTCCTAACTGATGGTGTAAATGTTTGTGTGCAGGTATCAAATGGTTTCAGATGGAGCAGTGTGGATCAACCACACACGTACAGACAACCCGGAGCAGGTACTGATCCCCAAACTCCACATCCTGGCTAATGGACTCACGCTGCTCAGAGTGGGCAAGAAGAACTTCTACATTATCAAGTGGCTTAGCCTCTGACGGTGCCTTATCAAGCAGGAGACCACTATATTATAATGGACTAACTGGGAAGGTAGGCGACTACACCTCAGCAGAGTCAGGAAGGATCATTTCCATTTTTTTGGATATAAATATGTGTATGTACAGATTAAATGTTTATTTAAAACATTTCTATTAAAAGCGTTTGATATCACGATTGCTTCCTGGTTACTTTGTATGGACATTGAGAGGCGGTGTGATGACCACTAGGGGGCATCATTGCCCCAGAATTAATGGTGGCCAGCCAGCAGCCACAGCTGCAGCACATAGCCTGCTGTGACCTCTTAAGTAAATAATTGCTCACAGTAAAATTAAATTGCATCATTTCTTGCAGGTTGCTTGCTTCTATTTTAAGCAAATCCAATTTGTTTCATCTTGATCAGAACCTGAGGCGAGCATCTTTTTTGACATCACTCTTGTTTTGGGGGCTTTTTTTGTTTGTTTTTTTCCCCTTCAGTGGAAAAGTGTAAAACTTGGACGATAAAGAAAAAGAAGCTGGAAAAAAAAGCTTGATAAATTTAAAAACAAACAGTACTTTTGCTTGAAGATCACATTTTTAAATAGAGCCTTAAATAAGAAACAAAGAAGTTTGGACTATTATTTTCAAATTCAATTCAAAGCAGGAATTTGTACATTATTGTTGACCTGACTTGTGTTGAAAGCAACACATCTGCTCATTTTTAGCAGATTACTGATCCCTCCTCCTTGCAGGTAATGATCAAAACATTTAATCTAGTGTCCTCAATATGAGAGTCAGTGTAAATTTAGAAATCACTGCTTTGCACTTTGGCACACCCTGCCTACTTTTTTCCAGATTAGGGTTAAAAACATAAAATTAAAATTTTCCATATTTTTCTTTTTTTTTATTGGTAATTTCTAATGGGATTTGGATAACCCTAGGGATTTGTGCGAACCTGCCAAGTTTTTCCTGAGGTGTCGGGGGAAAAACTTTAACATTGAGTACTTTCGGCTTCTTTTTTTTAAAAAAAAAATTCTAAATTTGCTGACTTCTGATACTGTGTGGGGTTTTTTTGTTTTGTTTTTTTGTTTTTTTTAGCACTGTGTTTTTTGTTTTGTTTTTTCGCTCTGGGTTCTGGTGGCAGTGTGGACAGAGTCTGATGTGTGCTGACCTTGACCTTAACCACTGAGGTGCAGATAATTGGTGGAAATGGCATGTCATAAAGATACACATTAGCCAGATTGGCACAATTTTTTTTGTTTGTTCTTTTTGTTTTAAGTTAATTGTTCTGCACCTGTTAGGAATGATTTGTTATGCTATTTTTTATTTCAAAGATTATAATTTTTCTTATTTGGCACAGCCATGACAACATTTATTATCAATAACCTCTTTTTGTACATCCTCTTCCCCCACTCAGTTATTTATTATACGTTAAATACAGAGTTACATATATACATGACACTCACACGCTGATATTTTTTTTGTTTTAAGGGAAAAGGAGAAAAAAAGAAATCAGAGCGGCTTAATTTAGCCGGTCCACCTTAAGAAAAGTAGGCGGGCTTAAAAACTCTGACCAATGAGCGACCTCTTCGGGAATTTAAATAGCTCAGCATGTCAATCATGCCCCTACCCCCACATCAACCTTTCGCCATATTGGGCGAAAGAGAAGGGCTGTCTGCAGTTTCTCTCGCTACGGGACAAAATTGACAGAGCGCCTTCAGTTCCTGAGCACTTTGTTTTGATGAGACTACGCAGGGCTTCACAACACGGCGGCTGTTCGCGTCTGCATTCCGACGTATGCATGGCATAACGCGTTTCACGCTTTTTTTGGAGCTTTCTCAGCGACGAGGAGATAACCGTTGTTTTTGAGTGGTGTGTGTGTGTGTGTGCGCTGCCTTTTTGTTTTTGTTTTTTCCCTCCTCGTGAAAAACTGGACGCTCCAGGCTGTTTTAAAAAATTGCGTGTTTTGCTGGAGCAAAATGTCAGATGTTCGACTTTCAAACGGGAGCCCGACGCTGGAGCGGACGGACTCACGGCTGTCTGAACACCCGAAACCGTCAGCCTGCAGGAGCCTCTTCGGCTCGGTGGATCACGAAGAGTTAAAGAGGGATTTAAAGGGACATTTGCGGGAGTTGGAAGAGCGCGCCTCCGACCACTGGGGCTTCGACTTCGCCACTGACACGCCGAGGGCCAACTCCAGGTTCGAGTGGAAACTAGTGGATTGCAGAGACCTGCCGGGCTTCTACACTCGGCAGCCGCTTACGAAGAAAGGCGTCTGCTCCACTGGGAATAACAATGTGGATCTTAACGGGAATCACAGTTGTGTTGTGGTGCCTCCGAGCGAAGATCCCGACAGGGCTGACGGGCAAATGGAGTGCACGGAACAGTGTACAGCGCTGAGGAAAAGACACGCGTGTCACGGTACTACATACGCTCCAGTTTAACCCGTTTACATCAGTTGTTTCTGAGCAACGCAGCTGATCGCGTATTGATTTGTGCACCGAAAATAAAATTTTGAAAATCATGGCCCCAAAAAGCACTGTAAAGAGTGGGGTTTGCCTGCAACACTATACCACTATTTTTTTATTTTTTTAAGAAATGACGAAATTTTTGTTTTTATTTTTATTTTTTTTGCTTTTTGCAGACTCCCCTGTTCCGAGCAAGAGGTCACACAGCAGCTCAGATGTTAGTTGTCCGAGTCGGAGTCACTCTGCAGAGCACACGCCCAGAAAGACCAGTCCCAAGAGGAAAACGTGAGAAAAGGTAAAGACTGTTCATGCAATATTTTTCCTTTTTTAATCATATTTTTCTTAAGGAAAAGCAAAGATTTCGTAACAAAAAAAAAAATAGCTCTGTGCATAGTGTAACTACAGTAGGCTGTTTACTGGCTACTCCATCTCCCAACTGGGGGTACCTTTGGAAAACGAGTAAATCTGCAAAAACATCTGGTTATTCGTTTACTGAAAAATTGATACCGCTTTTAAACCATTAGGAGGCATTCTAATTCAGCTTAAACACCCTTTCAGTTCACTTAAATAAGATTTGGATGTTACACAGCTTTGACAGTCTGCATACTTTTGTGCACGTCCTTCAAATGTGCTGTCAGTCTGTCTCATTCATTAATGAGCGGGGACAGAAACATGAGGGAGTAAAAGGGGTTGTGGGGGGGGTTGGTTTTTAATTTTCCACTCGGACAGAGAGAGCTCTGTCGATACACTGCGATCGAGGTGAAACAGGGGAAGGAAAAACAAACGAACAAATAATGCCTGTACATTTTAAAGATCTTTAACATTTAACCGCTGTCTGACACGGTGAGTCCGTTGAGTTTCCGTCGAAACTTGTAAACAAGTGCTGAACAACAGTGTAGTAGTGTAACACGTCAGCAACTGAGAGCAGGGACGGGAAGGGGCTGGTCTCTGTGCAGTGCTGCACACGCGTTGCACACTAACGTTACAACACACATCTGTCCCTGCCGGTGGAGAGTGTGCAGAAGAGTCGTGCAGGTCTGAAAGCAAGTGTGTGGGTGTGTGTACTGGCCAGGGCGACGGCCAATAGGCATGCAATCAGCATTGTTATGGCAGGATGTCAACTGTCAAAGCTGGGGGGTGGTCACTTCTATTTAATGCATTTTATTTATTTCTATTTTTTTAATTGTAGAAATCAAAAAATACCCCCAAACAAGGCTGTCTCATAGGCATTTTCAGATCTTTTCATGATTAAATAGGGGTGCTAATGTAAAACTATACCAGGTTTTCTTTTTTGATATCAGTTTTTATTTATGTATTAATACATGTACAAAACTAATTAGTTCATTCAGGTCTCCTGCTGCTCTGAGGTTTACCCCTTAGACCACACTAAGTTTATTTTATTTTATTTATTCATTTATTTGTTTGCAGAAATTGTTGCACAATGCCCACATTAGTGTCATCATTGCAACCTCTTATGCTTCTTTTTTCTTTCATCTGTTTTGTCTCACAGAACTGAAGATGAATGCCTCCCCCCTCCTTGTTTAACATGGAGAAACCTCAGTGTTGGCTGGTTTGTTTTTTGGTTTTGTTTTAGGGTTTGTTTGTTTTTGTTTTTTTTGTAATTTCTTTTGTTTGTTTGCTTTTAGTCTAGTGTTTTGTTTTGTTTTGTTTTGTGGGGGGGGGTTGTTTTGTTTTTTTGGAAGAGGATCTACACAGCATCCGAAACATATCAACCTTCCTGAAGATTGGGAAGGACGCTGTTGAAGCACTGAATAGAAACACTAAATTTTTTTGGCACTTAATTAAAAGTTACTTCCTCTAAAAGCAGTCGATGTAGCAGTGTGCAATTAGGTTTAATTTACTTTTTTGCTCCTTTTTTTTTTCTTTTTTCTTTTTTCTTTTTTTAACTACCTGTGTGTAAATAAAAAAAAATATATATATAAATATATAAACATATATTATTTCTCTCCATATGTAGCACATAAGACATTATGATTTAAAAAGAAATCCTTTATGTAAAACGGTGTGAATTTTGATTTGACTTGAATTGCAATGTTTGATAAATGTTTCCAAAATGCTGTTCTCTTGTTTTAATTTTTTTTCTTTTTTCTTTTTTTTGGGGGGGGGGTTGACACAGTCCCTAATTGCTACATTTAAAACAAAAAATTTTGGCTTCTTACGGTTTCTTAATAGTGTTTCTTCCCTCATCATCTTCCTAACTCAGCATTGAAGAATGGTACAAATGTAGCGGTTTTTTTTGATTTTTAATAATTTTTTTCCCCCCTTTTTCTGCTAAGTCTAGTGTCACCAAGTGTAAATTCTCCTATACGATCTAGTTTAACAGGAAGAAGTGTAATATTTGTGTAAGGACAGTCTTTAAGTCCCTTGATATTTATTTTGTAATTGAGGTGCTTTTAGCATCAGCTTAATCCTGGAATAAGATTTTTTTTTTTTTTTTTTTTTTTTCCCTCCCACGCTCTGGAGTTGCGAGGTACTCAGATATTGAAGGACAAAGACTATACAAACTGCACAGGTTGAGTTCTCTTTGACTGTTCCTATTGTTTGATGAACATTAAGGCTTGTGAGGGGTTTTGTTTGTTTTTGGGTTTTTTTTTGGTTTTTTTGTTAAAGGGTTGAATGTCCTACAATACCAAATACATGGTTGCATCAATATATTTGCCAGCACTGCTTGTGCTCTTCAATTGACTTCACATTGTGTTACTTTGTGATAACCGAGAGATGTTTGTACTTTTCTCATCAATGTTGTTAGCCTGCTGAGGATGCACATGAGCATCTAAAAGCTTCCCTTTATTTGCCTGAAGTGTGGTTTTTTTTTATTTTTTATTTTTTTTGAAAAAGACCAGGGTACACCTAAATGGAGACAGAAAACAGCTCGTCTCTGGAATGCAGTCACCATGCCTGTGTATTATGTAAATCTTTGCAATGTACCTTTGTACATAATTTTGTAAAAACACTGAGAAATATACTAACTTATTTATGTCAAGCCTTTTTTTTTTTTTTTTTTTTTTTTTTTTTTTTTTTTATGTAGAATAAAAAAATATGGGTTTTTGATTACGGTTATCCAAAGTGGCATTTACTTTATTATAATTGTTTTATTTTGTAAAACCATATTTTGGTAGTGTTTTGTTTTGTTTCTTTTCTTATAAAGGTTGCAAACTGAGCCTGGTAAAATATTTTGATGTGCATTTTTTTTTAATGTGTGGTTATAAAATGTATTGCAATCAATTAAAAAAGAAAAAAATGAGTTGTGGTTCCTTCTTACACTCGGTGTAAATTACACACTTGGTTTGTAGAAAAATAGGATGAAAATAGTTTTTGCTTTGTTCATTCCCCAAATCATTGGGACGTACAAAGTATTTGCAACAGCTGTGTGGGTGGACTTCCTGGAATAATACAGTGACACTCCCAATATAATTCCATCAGCACTATGAGCAGCAGGTTGACACTTTAGTCATCCAATCAAAAAGACAGTGGGGAAAGCAGACCACTCGCTGCAGCCAGTAACATTTAGTAATTTATGGGTAAGGCTTTCATTTGCTTTTAATCTCAGTACAAGAGTCTTTTGAATGCAAAGTAAAACAAGGCAAGTCAGGTTTTTTGTTTTGTTAGGCTTTTTTTTATTTTTATTTTTTTTATTACCATTTGTTTTTTCTTTTTCACTATTTACATGGGCTTAGTTGCATCTGTCTGTGTCTATAAAAAGTGTGTGTGTGTAAGAAAATAAGGGAGTGTGTAACTGGAAGACCCAGAGTGATTTTTTTTTTAAAAACTTTTCTTTCATACATGTGTCTTCTATAATATATCAAATTCATCAAAATTTTATTTTTATAAATTTTTATTTAATTCAAGTAATTTTTTGAATGTGTACAATGCAATGTGCACACAAGCTCAGTATTGTACTTATATACATTTTAATCTTCGAACTGAAAAATCATAATTATGTCTTTTATATGTTTAAAATTAATTCACATAGGTATTGATTTGGTTTGACCCTTAATCAGTCAAAATTATAATTTGCATTTTTTTTTTGTAATTAAATCACCTACAGTAATCCACTTGAAACATGAAAAAGATCAAATAAAGGATGAATTAGTAAATGAAAGGTGTTCTTACAGGTGCTATCAGGCAACACATATGTGCCATTGTACACCAACTTTCATCCAGTACTTGATAATAATAGTAATAATAATATAAAGAGAATTCCTCAGAGTAAGTGTTGTTCAATCTGGCTGTCGTGAGTCTGAAACTCAGTAGAAAACTGACTCAGTGATGCTACTTCAAATAAATTGGTGTTTCTATTAAACAGAAGTGTCTTAATGTTGTACTTTTCAGCTTTCTTGTCACTCTGAGTGATGTATGCTAAAAGTGGAGCCCTAACCTGTGCTGAGATGCTCTTTGACCTCTAGTAACTTCACTAAATGTTTTCACTGCACAGAATTTCCCAACTTCCTTCTTGTATGAGCAGCACAGGAAGACACCTGTGCTTAGAGCATTTTAAAGCTGGATGGGTGGAGGCTGTGCATTTGAGTGTGCCCAAGAGATGGTGGGGGTGTGAGTGGTGTGGTACGGTAAAAGTGTGTGGGGGATGGGTCCACTCCTGAAGTGTGCAGGTGGGTAACCTCAGCTCAGCCATGCACCCCCACTCTGAGCTTGTCCCATTGTCCCAGTGTGTGGGCTTTTGTGTGGACAGCCATTGTAAGAGCCCAGGGCTGGCCACTGTTGTGTCTGGGGCTTCTCTGCTCAAACAAAGGCCCCGTCTATGAGCCTCCACCCTACCCAAACAGCAGACTGACTGACTGACTTGGTGTCTGACTGACAGACTAGGTGGCTGACTAACTGACTGAATGGCTGACTGGGTGCCTGATTGGTTGAGTGATTGATTGGATGGAGCAGAAGAGTGGAAGTACTGTGTTTCAGGCAATCTGTAATACTCAGTGTACATCAGTGTCACTTATATACGTGATACTGTTAAATGTATGATGAATGAAATACCAAATAAGTTTTTTACTGTCATAATATGTATAAAATGCATTAGCTTTAATGGGATTTTGACAGTTAGGGTGATCATTTAAAAACAAAGTGCTATAAGTTGTGAAATGACGCAGGCTGATGAGGCACTCAAGGGACATGTTCTGAAATGTAAATAAAAAAATGTCAAAAGAGTTTTTTGTTGTTGGGTTTTTTTTCCAGGAAAATGCAACAGTCGCAGGTGTTTTTGCATGCATAAGACTGACATCATTCCACATATTCACACCAGCCTTGTATTACATGGGTGCATTTTTCAAATTTCTTCAAGTATATTTGTACAATGCTGGTGTAAAAGTTGCACACATTTCCCAAATGCTACACTGTTTGTAAAACTCTCATATAGATATCTATAAATTGTATAACAGCTTGAGCATCCTTATCTGTAGCATACTTCTATCATGCTGTTGCTATTTCATGTAATCTAATGTTTAAACTATTGGATCAACACTTAAATAATATATATATTCTAAATGACAGGGAATAACAGGGTTCCTTATTCAAAAGGTCAGTAAAAAGGGTGCACCTGGACCGCTGTGACGCAGCAGCATCCAGCTCTGCGTCGGAAACACCTTTTCTGCAACAACGGGAATGTCCCAGAAAACATTCCCGTAACACTCCAGCACAGCCAACCAAACAAAAAACGCACTGAGTTTGAGGAAATTCCTGTAAGCCAGTCAATCAAAGATGTGGAAGGCATCGTTGGCCTGTTCCTCTCTGCAACATCTTGCATGTGCCAAGAATTCACACTTCCTTGCTATATCAACAGAAACAGGTTATCTTTTCCTGTTAAGCGCCCCAGCACTTAATATAAAGCCACAAGTTCCTCCCTGTGTTTCCTGCCCAGGCCACAACGTACGTCATCGAGCTGTTCCCCTGGCACCTTAGGCTGTGAATAAGGAGAAAGCAAGTGGCCACAAACAAACACCTTACATTTATCTCTCTGTCTCGTTCTGTGTCTGTTTCTTGGTTTCTCCAGTGTAGTTTCTAACAGTCTGCAAGCATACAAATTGCTTTACTTGCTGAGCATTTGCTGCAGCCCGGGATGGAATTTCAACTGTTTTTTTGGACTGCTGAATTTGATTAATTGAGCAAGGAAGGGCTGTTTTAATACAGGGAAACGACTTCGTTGAATAGCAGATGCACTGTCAGAACTTCAGTATGTCATATACTCTGGTGTCGTATGCAAAGGGTGCATGCTGCAGAGTTAGCGTGAATGAGAGGCAGGGAGGAGAGGTTAAGAGGTCAGAGATACTGCAGAGCTCTGAATGACAGATGCACAGATGTGCATCTGCGGCGCAGTTTGGGGGGACAGAAAGGTGAGGGAGTTTGGGGCGGGGGGTGGGATTGGGGCGGGGGGTAATGCTCATTAAAGCAGCACACCTGCAGCCCATCAAAGAGCCTTTATCTCTTATCAATTGAAATCTGCTAAAGCACGCAGCATTAGACGTACAAAACAAGCAGACTGTGCTGCATGCTCACTCATAGTCTCTTTATCTCTTTCCCTCTCCCAGTCTCTTCTGACCAGTGGATAGTACCTGGCGCACTAATCCTGTCAGGAATGCTGAGGGGTGTATTTGGATGCATTTGGCTGAGAAATCGAGACGACTCTTCCCGCTGAAACATCTGTGCAGAGCACAGTCTTTCCTCTCATCAGTTTCATATCAGATCCTTTTTCATTGACCTCAAGGAATCTCACACAATGGTGTTATCAAACTGTAAAGCTCTTAAGATTTACCCAACAAAACACCATTCAACTTTTCATGTATTTTGAAACTGTGTTCTTTGGAGACCTGGAGTGTACAATGTGCCTGTCTCTAAAACACTTTGGGTCAACTTCTATTGCTTAAATTTGGTATAGACTATAAATCCCACAAAAGGTTTCTGACATTTTTCATGATGTCTATCTTTTTTTTAAAACGTTTAATAAACAAAGTATCGATCCTATCGCACTAGTATTGATCTGACACCCATATTGGCGTTTGTATCGATAATACTGACACTTGGGTTGACCTGCTAACCTTTAGTAAAAGGAGTAAGTCAGTCCATAAATAACCAAAGGAATAAATGTGTGTGCAGCGATATGTGGAAGTTCACTGAGGTGAAAGAGCATGTGAGATTTAAGCCCCACCCCCAACCCCAAAAGAATGTATAGTTGTTACGGAAAACTACACATGTGTACAGTAACTGTGTGTAAACAAGCCAGAAGAGCTTTGAACACAGTCGATCGCAGCATGGGTGTGTTAGGTCGCGATTTGTATTTGACATGATGCAAAAATATTTCCATATGATGCAACATTGCGTAACTCTTGAAGAACTGTATGGGGCAATAATTCCAGTCACTCAAAATATGTCTTACATCACGGACCACAGTATACATCAAATTAGATCCCATCCACCAAGCTGATCTGCCAGCATGTCTAAACCTTTGACACAGGGAACACTGTTGGTTAAAGTGTGACACCAAGTGGAAAACTGTCTTCAGTGTTGCTTTGGAGTCGAACCAGAAATCCATCGACTTTCCACTTTTCACTTGCGATAACACGTCCCACATTTTATGACCGTATACCCAGACTTCTTTGTAACCTCCTTTCTGAGTTTCTTTTTTCTTTCTCTGCTGCCCTCATCATCAGGAGGCTCACGGGGCCTCCACACTACACGGTTCTGTTATGGTGTTGAAAAGATTGCTGTCATAAGAATGCATGAGCATGTTCCTCAACACGGACCTTGATGAGAAAAGCAGATTTTTCACCATATGAAAACCCACCTTTTGCTTTTCCACAGCTGTAGATGTGTTACACTGACTTCACAAAATTCAATTCTTCACTCTGTTTTCAATTTTAACTCACGGCAAATGACAGTGTTGGGATTTCGGCAGCTTGCTACAGCCGTACAATAGAAATGATACTAAATTGAGGGTGACATACATTTGATGATACCTAAACAGAAGCTGT